TTTAAGTTTCAGAATTGCTACCAGTTCTTATTCTCCCATCATCACTGGAATAACCTTCAGATATCTCAAGAGGGTGCTCAACTGCCATTCTCCTCGCTTTGATTTTGATTCCTTACTTGTACACAAGAGAGCTCGCAGTAGGATATAAATACATATAATACATATACAATTTATGAATGTATATGCACATATTCGAAATGGATGGTGAATTAAGGTATATATACATACCACACAATTTTTTTGTACAACAGAAAGGAATGTCCTGCAGTTCAGTACAAATACCTTCAAGTGAAAAACAATAATAAAAAAAAAAATCCTTTTTTGTTAATTTAAACATAGCACAAAATTTATTCCTCCAAACTTTAGACGAGCTTCCTTCTACGTTAAAAAATAAGAAATGGAAGCCAGTTCACTTTGATGGTTACAATGTTATTAACTTCATTGAGAATTACTTAAATTATATTATTTATTAACATTCATTATTTTATGGAAATATTAATAATTTAACAAATGGCCACCTATTTTATTTCCAGAATATTGAATATCTTATAGTTTAACCTCTTAAAACTCTGCCACACAATGCAGCCTCAAGTAAATATATAAATAAATAAATAAATAAATAATAACTTGGTGCCATATTAACATTATATGAAACAGCCGAAGGCTGATTCTCTTCAACGCGGACCTTAGAAGACGTTACAAACAATAGTTTAGCATAGACGCGGCCCCCATTATAATTATTGAAAAAAAATTATATTAGGACTTCACACGTAGAGTTACATGCGGAGTCCAACGAAATTACGCCGTGGAGGTGATCGGCTCGGTAACACAAGGAAATATTCTCATCATGTTATTCAGGTGTTATTTTATACTATTCAGGTATTATTGTGTGTTATTCAAGTATTATTGATGTGTTATTGTGTTATTATAACACCAGAAATATTCTCAGAACACAATAACACCTGAACACCTGAATAACATATAGATAGTAACACCTGAATAACACACAATAACACCTGAATAACACGAGGGGAATATTCCCTAGTGTTCCCGGGCCGATCACCTCCACGGCGTAATTTCATTGGACTTGGCATGTAACTCTACGTGCGGAGTATTGATGTAATATTTCTTTCATTATTATTAGCTTTTTTGGAATTCCATTAAAGATTTGGACGTAAATAAAAGAATAATTGTATTGGTTTTAATTTATGGGGCATTTACGTACATACCACACAATTCTTATATATTTACATATATAACACTTAATTTTTTTACATCACATCAAAACTATTACTATCTTTAATTTTTTGAAAAGTAGGCTTTCACGCATAGCCCAATACCCTGCATGAGCTCCTATGACTTGAAATAATGCAATCCTTTTGTTTTGGATGAGTAAGCTTTTGAATATGACAAATTAAATTTAAATTGTTAGCTGCCCTTGCGAATTTAGTGATTAGCACGAAGATCTTTAATTGCTCAAAGTTTAATTCTAATTTTGTCTTCAGGTTGAAATAAACGAGCCGAGCTACGAGCCAAAATTTTGGATCGAATTATTTTTAGCAGATCATTGTCAGTCGTGCTTGTCAGGGTGAGTTGATTTTCTTTATTTTGCTTGAAATTTGTAGTTGTTGAAAAAATTATCATCTTAATGCTTGTTAAATGTAATTCAAATAAATAATTAGCACATAATACAATGAAAGTATAATATTTTTCTGTTGCAAACCAAAAAAGAAAAACAGAATGGGGCCGACATTTTGACTGCAATGAACTAATCTTCTCAGCAATGAGGAGGTTTGAACAAAGAGAGCTTGGAAGGCATTTAGTACAAAACCACACAATTCTAATCCATTTACCTGTCCAACAACTATACTTCATTTTTTTACATTTAAAACACTCAACTTTTTCCCATCACATTTATTACTAATTTTAAAAAGTAGAATACACATTTACAAGCTTAAATAAAGTCGTATATAAGTAAAAAAAAAAAAATCAAAGTTTAGGTGTTAGATATGTAAATACAAAGGAATTGTGTGGTTTGTATAAAAATCTAATGGTGAAGAGTAATATAGATGGTAAGCAGCCATGAATGTTGGCATCAATCAGTAGTAGAGGAGGCAATAGATGTTGAGTTTAATGATGATTGGATGTAAATATTGATTGATGAATGCTGACATTGACAAGCTCCGTCGTCGATCTATGGGCTTGCATTGAACGATGGGCATCGATGGATATTGACATTAGTAAATGGTGAAATTATATTTAGTATTAGTTGATGATGGGTGTTGGGGGTAAAATGATGATGATTATTAGTCTAACAAGGGAACAACAAATAGACACAAACAGTCATCTTAAGAATAAATGAAGATTGTTAGACAATAGAAAATATAGTTGCTAGCTTAAGAAAATCCTTTAATTGAAATCCTCATTGACAGTATGAGAAAACTTTGGAGGAATTTGACCCCTTGTATTTATGATATTTATTTATATTTCTTTCATTTGGTCCCATTGGGACTTTAACATGGGCTTTCTTGGTATTATGATCAGTGAGTTTTATGTAAATAAATATCATATTAATTAAATTTATTTTCATATAAAAGTAATAAATTCTATAAAAACATTATGAAATTTGCACATGTAGTTCCATAGTTTATAAAAGTGTCTAAATAGTCTCAAAACTATTTAAAATTAAGCTTTAATAATCTTTCATGAGTAGTATTTCTGCCCAATCTAAAAACTTTTCTAACAATTTTGACATTTTTATAAACTCTAGAATTAAAAAATCCCCAAAGTAATTAGTCGGGAACCATTTTAATACTTTGCCTGTAACATGCATTCAAATAATATTTGAATTAAAAGCAGCAAAGTATTTGTGACTTTATATTGCATATTCCAATTATAGAGTCAAAAAATAAAATAAAAAGGAAGAAAGTTTAAGTTCAGGTAGGAGCAAAAGCATACCTCAAGCTAGTTGAGGAGGTGATGGTGTAGGCAACCGCAACGCCAATTAATCCCAACTGCTGAAAAACCCCACAGATCCACACACTCTTCTCGCCTGTCAAGTCAGCAATTATACACGCTTTCTTCAGTTATTTTACTTTGTTTCATGAATTTGTTTTTGCATTATTTTCTGCATTCATGGTTACCGAATGGGAAAAAGTTAGGAAACCATAGCCCTACTATCATTCATAGATCTCAAGTTTGACGGCAATAACAATCCAGTAAGAACTACGTATGTGGACTATTTTACGGGTGTTAAGTATATAATTCATATATGTGAGTAATGATTTTCATTTTGTATTACATGTTTGTTCAGAATTTTGAGCTGAAGGTTAAAAGAAATAGCAAATTCGGCAATATAATTAATCCAAATGTATATAAGTTCAATTGTACGAGTGTTCTACATGTGATTGGCCCAAATGAAAAATAGGGATTGGGGTTTTATATTGAATTTTGATATTTGAGTGAATTTTAAAAAATGGATGTGAGGTTGTCTGTATGTAATTGACATGAATTTTTGTAGGTTTTAGTCTTTCAGGGAATGAGTCTACTGGATCACAAAGATTATCAAGAGCAAGTATGATGTTTTGTATCCGTCATATGAGAATATTCTGATAGATATTTGGGATATGTGGTTTAAGAAGTTTGAGGGATATTCTAAACTATTTTAAATTGGGTCATTTACATACATAGCATGCAATTCTTTTGTATTTACATATCTTATCCAAATCTTTATAGTTACTCATACCACTCATTTCTTCTCAATCACATCAAATATATCACTAATTTTTACTATTCAAAACTCAAATCTATCTTTTTATGCATAGATAAGATTGTATGCAAGTAAATGTCAAAATTTTGGTGTAAAAATGTAAACAACTAAACATATGAGAATTTCGTGTTTTGTATGTATAATTTCCTTTTAAATTACAGTAAATTCAAGTTATTTTTTTTAGTGACAAAATTTATTCCATATTTGTGATGCAGAAGGACTTACGGTGACTTCCTCAGTATCATTAACAGATCCAACTTCCTCATTATCATCAACAGATCCCAGAGAACGTCTAAGATATATTAATTTATTGATGTCCGAAAGAATGGGCAAAGACTCCTCTAGATATGGGAGGACATTTGTGGCAAGTTGGCAAGCTTCTAGAGCTCTCTTGACTGTCTCAAGAAGAGAAAGCCGATGCGACAGAACCATAGTTGGACTATGGGGGCATGGGTATCTCCTTACATACCAGAAGCTCGGTCTCCCATACCAAGTATAGTAGGACAATGATAAGATTATTCAATGCAAGAAATTAAACTCAATGCATGAAATTAAACTATGTAATTATTATTTCCTAAGCTTTTTTTAGGTAAACAGAGGGCAGGCACTTGGATGAGTGTCCATCGCCACTGAGTTGCATATCCACACACATTAGCATCAAGTGGCCCAACGGTAGTTTGACAATGTACTTTGAAATGTCCAGAAAGATGAATGATTTTTTATTTTATTTGTGAGATGGACTAATAATTTATTTAGATGTTTTACATTTTTTTGTAGGATGAATATGTGCACTTGAAGGATGCCTGAAGTGAGAGCCCAGCCGGAGTTTGCATCTCTAGCAGTTATTTTGCGAATTGGAGTTCCATATATGGATGAAAGTTGTTGGTGAGAGAAAGAATAGAAAGATCTATGGCCTCATCTCACAAGTATTTGCTTATTAGGCACAACACTGTGTTTGGTGAGTGGTCATCATTGATTGATGACAAAATTAGTAGGCCTGTGAGTATATTTTCCAAAGCTACTTCAAATGGAGTCAAGATAGAAGTACTGGATCGAGGAGACCGTGGATGTTAGGATAGAGAAGAGGGTAAAGGCTAGGGTGGAAGAAAGGATTGATTCGTTGTAATGTGAGGCACAATGATGTGGCAAGTGAGCTATAGTCGAGGAGGAGAACCAACAAACTTAGTTTTTTAATTCTTTGTGTGTTTACAGATTTGATCTGTACTCTTTACATCTATTCTATAGATACTCTTGTATTTGATGATTATGTTGAATGATTTATTTTGATTGATTGTTATGTTTATTATAATGGTCATACACTTTACATCTATTCTATAGATACTCCTGTATTTGATTGATTGTGTCAATGGTCAAATGATATCATACTACCATTCATACTCTTGTATTTATTCTGATCTATTCTATGATTACTACCATTGAGCAAAGATGATTGATGATTATAGTCTGATAATAGTGTCAGACGATGGAGGTCAAATAATGACAATTTATCGAAGACTTTTGCTAGTCATAATCATCATTATTGAACGCTATGTAGAGCTTTAGAGTTCTTCAAATTTTTAAGCTCCGACATTTCTAATCTAAATTTCTCTGACGTAAAGAATGATGATCAATTTATAATTTTTTAGACAGATAGTTTAATTATAAGCATGCAAAATTGAAAAATTATTTTTGATAGTATTTTAATTGCCTGATTTAGGCCTTTTTGGGCCAAGATCAATTGCTTTTGGTGTTCTTAGATTTGTCTCATTGATTTTGAATTTTTAAAAATTAAAATTTGGACATTCCTTAATGAACTTGCAAAAATTATTAATTTAAAAAATGTATTAAGATTCATGTTTGATCAATTAGATTTTATTTTATTAGTGTACCATCTTTATTTAATTATTTTTATAAATAATTGATAGATCAAAAATTAATTTGTTTATATTTTCTAAATATAAATTAATCTTCATAATTTTATGCAGACAGTTGGAATTTAAATTCTATACACTTTTCTGACAAACGGGCACAAGAAATTCGAAAAAAATTAATACGATAACATCCCAATAAAATCTGTGTTCGAATGAAAAGATAAAATTGTCAAATATAGAATAAGAAAAAAATAAAAAATTAAAAGAAATTTAAACAAAGGAAGTAAAAGATAGTAGCATGATTTGAGTTTTTTTTTAAATTAGATATCTTCGAAATTTAAATAATTTAAATTAAATTTAAAATTTTTTAATATTTTATTATAATATTGGTGTGAATTAGAAGATTTGAAGTGGTGGAAAATGGAATATAGTCTTAGGATTGTATGAGAATCCAACACACATTTAGATAGTAGAAAATAATCATTAGAGGTACTAGACGTTTTTATGTGAAAAACCTGAAAAAGCAATAAAATCACAAGCTTTGACTTATTTAGAACAATTAATCCACTATGAATTTGAGATTACACGTACAACCCCCGTTTCAAAATAGAGAAAAGATTACACAATTTTTTTAAGGTACAAAATTTATTGTATAATGGTAGAGAGTGGATGTAGTTGGGAACCGTTACTGGAACCAAGACTTTTTCTTGGAGATGATTCGTTGCACGACATGTTAGGTGATGCACTGTTTTGTCATGTGCTTCGTTATTTTGCAACGAATGTTGGAATTATGCACAGCACGTTGTCTCTCCGCAAAAATTTTCTTTCAAGGAGAAGGTGGCCATCAATGGTGGTCGACGATGGTCAGCGACTGCAAAAGCAAGAGGAATTTGTGAAGTTTTCGATGTAAAAACGATGCTAGCCTTTAGATCCTTCTCCAAGCTCTAATCTTCCTTTAGCTCAGGGTATAAGTCAACTTTCAAGTGAGTTGTAGGGCTCTATTTATAAAGCCCATGTTGCAAATAAGGAAGGAATCTATACCACTCTAATCGGAAGCTTGAGAAAATTTTATCGATCAGACGGTGTTTTACAGACATTTAAGTGACTTAATGATGTCAGAATTGAGTGATCTTAGACTCTTTAGATTTCTCTTATCGAGACGCTCGATTGACTAGATTTAACATCGGTTTGACATTTCAATTATACGCTGGAAGCTTTCAAATGTGGTTTAACGGCTTGATTTGGGCTTTGACTTGACTCAGATTGCACCAATATTGATATTATTATGTGAGTCTCGTTGAGTCAGTCAATTTAATTGGAAGTTTGTTGAAATTAGAGTTTTGGATAACTTTTAATGGAAGTTTAAATATTTTTTGCTAAAAAAATTAGCTTTGAGATTCTTCTGATGCATCGAAATTGATGCTATACCACAAGACTAGTAATGGATGATAGAAATTTGTTGATAAGGTATCAAATATAAATTAAATCAGAATATTCTCAACGTTAGAACCGCAAAAAATGATCTATGAACTCTTATTATAACGAAGTGTTTCTCTGCTCAGCCATTTCTGTCCAGTTTCTTTCAACCTGTCGCTACAAGTCCTTTTAATTAAATAGACGTCTACGCCTCAATTTGCAGCGAAAGTCTAAATTCAACTTCATGTCGTCTTCAAAACAAATATTTCTAAAGGAAAAAAGTTAACCTACTGAAATGACTATGTTTTATTTGGGATTGTCACTAGTGCTGCCTTACTTTTGAGAAATTGACGTCTATTAGTTTAATGGAAGATTTATATAAAATACGATACATTTTTTATGTTTTCATATATCTAACCTCTAAGCTTTACTTTTATATTTATAGCATTTTATATATGTATAAAAATTTGCATTTCACTATTTGAAAGTTATACTGTTATTTTTTATTTGATACGATATTTTTATTGTTATGAATATAAAAGTCAAAGTTTAGGAGTTAGATATGTGCAAACATGGGAATTGTGTGGCATGCATGTATATTGAACTGTGCAAACATAGGAATTGTGTGACATGCATTAAAATTGTGAGTTACAGGCGTAGACTGTATCAAACACTTGTAGTACTTAAATTAGATCACAATCTATTAACAACGATGGTCGAATGGTGATGCCCCTTAACCAATACATTCCATTTACCCGGTAGTAAGATAAATTCAAATACATATTAACATGTTACCCCTTTAATTAGCATTCTTTAACCTTACACAAAATTCATTTTTCTCAGATGAGATGGCTATCACGTTGTAAGATGTTTAGATACTTAATGGTATTAGGATGGACGGAAATGCCCTGATAAGGTTGAATGTTGTTGGTCCAGATTTGCACAAGCCAAATTGGCTGGCATGATGCAATGATTTGTTTGGGGACCACCCCAGAGATGATGTTCTCTATCATCAGCCTGTAGATCACACAATAACATGTTTTTTTATGGGACGCTCTGAAACACATACAATCATACTGTTTCGCTAGCTCTACTCGACATTTTACAGTGAGTCTTACAATGATTTACCTCCACTAAAATTTTTAAGGCATGTTAGAGCTATATATTGTTCATATTACAGTGTTTTCTTCTTCCAAACATGTCTGGATCGCATGTATGTTTATAAAAATTGACATTAACAGAAATTTAGAGGAGTTTGGAAGATATTCTTTGGGTGGCGCAGTGCATGCACACCTATATAGAGATTTAAATTTGTCAACTAAGCCTACTTGTCAGATAGTTGTTTGGTGTTTGCACTTGCTACAAGCATGATGCTGAGAGCACTTACATGTTGGTAGCCCCACCCTTCATTTTCTGACCCCTCATTATTTATCAAGCAAATCCCCTGTGTTCTGATACCCAATCAATTTTTTTGTACATAAAAAATGGAAAATTTTAATTCAAATTCATCTCATTTAGTTAAATAACATGCAAATTGAATGAACAATGACTACGTACATGGTCGTCTGGAAATATAGGTATGTACAGAAATGAACTTGACATACTCAGATAGAGTCAGGTTTAACACTAAACCATTCTATTCAATCCAACATTCCTCTCATATTTTTATCTTAAATATAATTAAATTAAAAACTTTATATGCAAGTTAATTGGTTGTCATATTTAGATTTATAAGTAGCTTTGTTATATGATACATTTTTTCAAAATATTGATATTTGGACTGTCTGGAGGCGTGTCGAGTGGCAAGTTCCAGATTATGTTTTGTAGCAGTTTTCAAGCATTCATCATATATTTATTCAACCTATAGAATGAGGTTTTAAAAGAGTTGATGGTTGAAGTAAGGCTGAAGTTAACTAGTGCAATATCACAAGAGATATATCGAGATGTGGAATAATCATCGGGCCTATATAACACAATTAAACCCACCGTAAGGAGACGGAGAGCAATAACTGACTAATTATTTGCAATGATATTGATCTTAGGCATTAGTCTACTTAGTGGAGCCCCTTACTCAGCCGCTAGATATATATTACCCTCGATCACCAAGAGATAGAATATTGGCATGTGTTTACTATATATAATTACTGTTTTTAATTAATTTTATTATAATACCTAATAATAAATGTAATTCTTCAATTGTACAGTTAGATTGATTTATTCATAGAGAAGATATTGCAGAAAAGTTTGGAGGGCATTGCGGTGGAAGTGCTAGCTCAATGAAACAAGGGTACGATGAGATATTGGAGTTATCACGTAGAGTGGAACCGTCCATCCACATTGATTATATCACATTTGATCAGCCAATGAGACATGATTTCGAGTCGGGGCCATCTCATAAAACAATTGTCAAATCATCTAGCCCTCGTAGATCAACTTCTCATGTTTCACGTTGGTCAGGTTCCATTATCGTGAGTTGATCGGTAGCAGATGCTCCAAGGAGATCTTCAGCCTCTTGAATCTGTTGATCTCCCTTGAATGAGTCGCATGAACAACAATAATCATAATCATCTACTTATCTTGGGCAATCAACATTTGCGGGCCCCTCCAGCTATGTTGGACTCTCCGACGTTGCAGGACCTTACGAATATGCAAGACCCACCGGCTATGCAAGACCCACTGACTATAAAGGATCGCTGACTTATGAGGGTACATCATATGATTTACAATGGACAATGTTTTCTGGAGGAGCCCTGGATTTAAATTTTCAGAGCATTCTCATGGCTACGCCTACATCTGATGTAGGACTACTTTTTTTCACGAGCCTCCAATTTATACACCGCCAAAACCCATG